TATAATGGCCCTTGTCCTCATACACTGTACGCGAATTTTGTTCACAGTGTAAACCATCACCAGATTCAACAGTCCATTCAGTCCCTTAATTATACCAACGTGCCTATATTGAAGCCTATAATCACAAAAAGGAAATACCTACCCACGATTCCCCAAAACTAAGGGTGTTCCTCCTGATGCAATAAATTCAAAAACTGTCATTGTACGAGACAGATTCAGCTAACACAAAAAACTCTCGACTGCTTTAGGTAAATGGTTTCTGCTTTCACGAGGGGCAACTCCATAAAATTAATTTTGCTTGTTCCTTTTCCATAAACTGCATAAAGAAAGATGTTGTGCACAAATGCAAAAAAAAAACAAATCACGAATGATCTGGAAAGAAATAATACCAAGAGAAGCAACCTACGATATTTGGCGTTAAAAAAACCTCCCTGGGTCAAAATCAAAAGTTCAAGAAATGAAGAAGTGGGCTAGTTAGTTTCGAGATAAGCACGTGTTATCGCATCAGCTGGACTTTCGCGGAAAAGCAAATACAGATGTTTAATTTATTCGAAGATGCAGTTCGAAGTGGGACGGAGAGGGAAATTGTTTTAAATAGAGGAGACGAAGATTAATCGTTGGTTGTTTGGTTTGTGGTAGACGCTCTAAACGTAGCGGTTTCTTCATTTTTGAAAGAGGGCGAAACTCATCTTAATGACCGTGGAAGACTTCAAAGTGTTTAGAGACTTCATTCGTCATAATAAACGTAAATAGTCGCATTAAATAAGTGAAGTTGACGAAGAAGTAGTTGTTTCTCAGTACTTGTTAAAGGGAATTTTCCATCATCAAGGAGACAAATTGTACATCAGTAATTACAACGAACCCAGTGTTATCTAAATCGAAATTGGAGTGCTGTAATTATACTCAAAGAGTAAAGTCTCGAGGCATTTTCACCTGGTGTTTTATGTTAGCGCGACTGTTTGAAAATCGCAGTGCGACGGGAGATTTGTATTATTAACAATTTAAGACTTCTTGTAATTGATTTGTTCTATCGATCGCTTGTTACGTGGTATTTGTGTTTTTGACCCTGAGCGCCTATTTTTCTTTCAGCTTATTTTATTGATTTTGTTTCATTTGTAAAGAGTAAAGAGTTTTCATGTTAAATTTATCGATTTCGTACCCAGAATTACGTTATGTGCTACTCGGAAATCTATAATTTAATATGTCACATAAACATTCTTAGGGATCGAACTTAATAATGTCCGTTTTACAAGTAGATATATGTACAGGGTGGTCTAAATTGACACTTTCTTATGAAACCGCCTTTTATTTTAAGAGATAGAAAAAATGCGCCTAGGCGTCTAGAGTCCAAATTTAAAGACAAAATCACTGGCGCAAACAGAATTCAGTTGCCTCTAATCGTGTGGCCGCTATGGTGCGTTTCTCGAATTTAGTCGATGTCCTTAATCTCCTATAACTTTCTTATTATTAAAGATAATTGGTTTTGGCAAAATCTTTTTTAGAGCACTTTTTTATGTAGAATCCATTGCGATCCACCGTTTTTATACAGGGTGTTTGGTTTTTCTTATACGATCCTAAACTATATTTTTCATATGGACCACCCTGATGGGTAACCAAGACTATTGCCGTTTTAAACAACCCTTCCATCTTTTTTTCGCCATGGAAACCTAGACGCCTACAATAAAAATATTTTAATGTATAAAATAATATTTAATATAGGTCATATAAGTGATATATCAACATTTAGAAAATTATACGCTCTTATCAAAAACTCCAAAATATATAGGGTGGCCTATATGAAAAATACAGTTTAGGGTCGTGTAAAAAAAATCAAACATCCTGTATAAACACTGTGTTGCGCAATGGATTCTACATTAAAAAGTGTTCTAAGAATTATTTTGCCAAAATCAATTATCTTTAATAATAAGAAATTTATGGGGCATTATGGAAATCGACTAAATTCGAGAAACGCCCAAACGATTAGTGATACCTAGCTGAATTCTGCTTGCGCCAGTAATTTTCTCTTTAAAATTGGGCTCCAGACACCTAGGTCCATTTTCTCCTATCTCTTAAAATAAGGGCGTTTCCACGAGAAAGTGTCCAATTTGAACCACACTGTACCTACAGTGTGTTCCCGGATTGACTGAATCTCGTTTTGATGTTTTGGGATCCCGGTCCGTTTGATATGAAAAGAATTTCAGGCACATTGTTACTTTTTAAAATCCAAGATGACCGTGACAATTGAGAAAAATTTTATGTTAAAGTAAAGTGCCATTTCGGTCAATAATACGGTAAACTGTGGACCACTTTGATTAAATCAGTATTTGATTTGTCGCTTTTTGTTATCTGAAAAATGCCGCATGTTGCAGTTTCGTTTTTTTAAACTACAGATTTGGTTTTAGTAGAAAAAATACCTACACAATTTTGACCGCCGTGCTAAGTCGACAAATAAGAAAGTTTATGCTATTCAAAATTATCTTGCCATGCCTTTCCCAAAATACAATACTTAGGTACTTTATAAATGAAATGACAAAAAGGTGGACGTTTACAATAAATTTGATTTCGCCTGTTATAAATTTTATTACCTATTTATTATTTATTTAAAATGTTCATAAATAGCGATTAGCCCTAATGATTATACTTCGGTTAGTCATACCTAGGTATATCTAAACTTTTACAAGTATTGCTAGTTAGTTTGGAAATATCTGAATGTTCAAATTGAGAAATTTTGTCTTTGTGGTTGCCGAGAGGTAGGTATCTTTAAATTTTGCTTGGGGTTTACAACAGGGTTTACAAGCTAATTTAATTTTGATTTTTTAAATAATTTAATAATACTTAGAATCTGAAATATTATCAGTTCTAATATCGATGTGTGATGAAGTAGCTCCCGCTCGTATTTTAATATGTTATAAATTGTGCGAGTGATAAATAATAATTATACCGTTATAAATGAATCCATTTCAAGACTGTTATAAATAAATGAAACCGCATAATTAAATGTACCTATAGCTATACGTGACAATAGTTACCTACCTATAATTTGTCGTAGGTAGATAGGTTTATTGTTGGTAAACAGAAGAAACGAAGATAATAAAATTAGGGAAAAGTTGCGCAATTAAAGAGTAATAAGATATGCCAGAAAAACCTAGTGCACCATCCACCACTATAGCATTTTCCAACTTTTTTTTTTGCCGTAGGTACATATCGTTGTATAATTACCTACCTATTCGTTACAAAAAATCCTACACAATACAGTTTTTTTACGGGCTATAGGTATACAAAATAAACTTGCCGATGCTTCCTGAGAAACGAAACGTTGTACAACGTTACAACGGTAAATTAGTGTAATTCCCAATTACAACTGTAAATTATAAACTAATTCCCAGTTACAACTGTAAATTATAATTCCCAGTTACAACTGTCAATTAGTGTAATTCCCAATTACAACTGTAAATTATAAACTAATTCCCAGTTACAACTGTAAATTAGTATAGTTCCCAGTACCAACTGTAATTTACAAAATAATTTCCTATGTGTCCTATCCAGAGCTTCGTAGATGCTTACTTTTATAGAAAAATGAAATTTAGAAAAATAAAATAAATAATTTAACTTTTCAATTCAAAACTTCTAAAAAAAACAAAAAAATTGTAATGAACTTTTTTGTAGAGTTTTTTAAGCCATTTTGGCCAGTGTATGCGAATTTTTTAAGCCGTTGTGACCTTGACGATGGTTACGGATCAAAACCAAAATATGACGTTTTTGATTCCCCATACCACCCTGTATGCACACCAAATATACCTAAGTTATATAAGATTCAGAAAGTCGCTGACTTAGGTATAGGTAATGCAATACCAGCATATATGATCGATTAATGAATAATGAACCATATAGAAATAAATAAAATAGAAACTATAAAAGAACAGAATTTTAATAAAAAACGAATATTCATTTTTTATAATTATTTTAATTCCTTTTTTAATTTATGTAATTTTAAGCTTATTAAGTATCCAAATATTTAAAAATTTCGCGGCACCCCAAGGTTGTGTTGGTAAGTATTACCTACATCAGGGATAATAAAACAAAATACATAGGTAAACCTCAAACTTCGCCAATTTTCGATAAATGACGAGTTTACAAACCGCATAGGTATATACTTATAGGGCATTGCACGATAATTGCATAATGTAAACTATATGCTTTTACAATGAAAATATTATACGATTTAGCAGTTATCTTCCAGAATTATTTTAGGCCCATAGGTATAGGTACCTACCTAAGATAAAATGTAAACACATCGACGACTACAAATTTAAGAAATGCTCTCACCAAACAGAGGAAGCATACCTACCTATATGCAATCCATTTTGATTTGATTATAGAATTAAAGATAGACATGGACAGGTACCTAAATTTGTAGCTAAGTGTAAAAATTTTTTTCAGATGAATTTTTTCAATAGGTAAAGGCAGTCCACCAATTTTCAATAAAACAGTTTTAATGTGAAGTAATTTAGTAGATGCATGAATTAAATTCGGCAATAACCTTCAAATAAAAACGTGATAATTAAATCTATCGGCGGGGTTACAGGACTCTAATTAGTAACAGCCAATTAATTAGAACCAATTATCATAATTGATTACATCGTTTCCAATTAACCCTGTAAACTATTTGACAGTAATTGTCTAATTTGACGAGCGATTCCAACCTTTAGATATTAGAATCATAAGACTTTACCTTTTAGAATGAGACACTAGGTTTACTACACGCCCACCATGTACACTGCTGTAGTGAAATAAAATCCACAAGTAAAGATGCCACTGGAACAAGTATTCCATGGAATCGAGATACCAATGAGAACTCGCGTAAAGGCGATTTTATTGGTGCGCTGAAAGCTCCTCCCTATTTAAGGGAACCTTTTAGTAGAATATTAGGGGGTATCTTTGTTAGGGGCTAGCAGTACTCGTTTTTCAAATTGAAGTAGTCAGTTTATCCCTATAGCTGCTTACGACCGGTTCTTACACCCACTAAGAAAGCGATAAAAAGTAGATACCTAATTGAGATTTATTACTAAAGATGTGCGTGCGGGGTTAATTAATAATTTTGCTCGCTTTAAAAATAGATACTGGACTCCTCTCGCTCTCAGTAGGTAGACATGGTTATGTTCAATGTGCGACGCGGTGCTAATACTGACTGAAAGGATTTTAACGAGATGCGGCCTATGCCCTAATTACGTTAAGGTACAACAATGCAATTTTTTACCATTAGCTCACCCTAGTAGTAAAATGCGTATCGGCGATGCGGTGAAATCCTTACCGTCGCTAACCCCAAAGTGAGTTCGCGCCAAATCCAAATACTAAAACAATGAACAATGAAGCGTTAGACAACACAATTCACGTTACCGCACCCAGTATATTAAATAAACCGCCACAAACCATGCCTCAACGGTCTCCTTTCGCAATACAAGAACTCCTAGGACTTGGAGATTCACAACATCGATCACCCACGGCCGCCGTTTCAGCGATCACGCCGAACGTCTATCCTCAAAGGCACATACAACCGCAAACATGTTTTCCTTCTGATCCGAGCTTTAATCACCACCATATGACGATGGCCGCAAGTCGGATGGCCTATTTTAATGCTCAAGCCGCCGTCGCCGCCGCTTTTTTACCTCATAACATTGCCGCCGCCGCTAGCATGAGCGCCGCTAACAACGGTACAGCATCTCCGGTTAGCGTCCTTGGACTTGCAGGACCACAGGTTACAGCTGCTTCCGGTAAGTGTTCGTACTAAGCTTCAAGTGAGATGAGACATTATGCTTACACTAATCCCTTTTTGTGCGCAATTATCGCCGGTTTAAATTAGGCCTAATTGCATTACCATATAGATAGGTACACAATAGATATAGGTATGTGATCTTTGGTATAGGTAGGTACCTATACGGCTATACCTATAGGTATAGGGATTACGATTGTCAGATCTTTACATGTCAGCTTTTGATTCTTATTAAGATGTAAGATATACCTAAAAGTACCTAAACCAAGTGATTTTTGCCTTTTCAAAATAGGTAAACGTGCATAAATTTCAAAAAACCTGCACCTATATGATAATTTCTATAATAAAGAAATTCAAATTGTTAATCTTTAAATTATAGTTATAAACCCGTTATTTATTATTTTTAAAATGAAATAAGATTGGGATTACAGTATCTTGAGGAATTCACATGTGGAATTTTTTTTGCAAATAGTTAAGTATACCTTAACCCTGATGATGCTACCTACATGTAGGTATTGTAGATACCTATTACATTTATCACAAACAAAGTCACTATAACCTGTTGAGTACCTACCTACCTATCTAGGTATGCTAATTTAATCTTTACAACGATAGTTATCTACAATGACTCGCTAATCTTCCTACTTAACCAGAGTCTTTTGAAACAAAGATATAGGTACCTATACCCGCAGTGGTATCGGTAGGTTTTACTACTTATAGGTAGCATGATTAAATCTACACTCTCCACATTACTAAGAATTTAATTGTTTGCTATTTTACCAAATTATGTGTTTTATAAATTCATTGAGCAATATGCAGAACAGGCAGAACTATATGTAAACAATAAATAATTTTGAGCGGAATTAATTTCGAAAACCAGCCTACATAGGTAGGTACGTATATAAACAGCAAATATTGTTTTTATGGTACCTATTAGTTGATACTCGCCTATTGAAATTATGCGTATATGCAATTTAATGATCAAATTTAAGTCAAACGGAATCTACAAATTTCAATACGTAGATCGGTGATAATGTTGTGCCCTAGGAACCAGGGGGCAAATTTAGTTTTTTGAATACTGTACCTAAATCGTATTAACGTTCTGGATCATTTGATGGCGATTTTCTACTAATTTTTAGAGTTTTGGTGCAATTTTGGAAGTAACGAGCTATTTAAATAGCAACTTTAGTGTTCAATAGGTAGGTACAGACACCAAAATTTTACTTTTAATAAAGAAGGACATCATTTTTAAACCATCACATCAGGAGACATTTATTTTAAAATTTCCACCTCTTCCCCCAGTTGGGAGAATCCTCTACGATTTAGTGTTTGTTTTTCAAGATTATAACCTTGATTAGATAAAAATCGCATTAGTTGTATTGTTCCAAGGGTTAGGTACCTAGGTAGGTACAGTTATTTTCGTTTATGTTAGGTAATCTTGATCAAACTTTTTCAATAATTAATTGAACTACACCTATACCTAGGTACTTAGGTACTTATGTATGGACGTTTCTCTTGTGCCAAGGAACAAAATGAGAAAATATTGTTCCTAACCTAAGAAGCCTAGTCTAGAGGTAACACTCATCCCTAATCTACTATGTTACCTTCTAAATTTAATTTCATATCACGAACGGCATAGATACACTCATTCCTGCACTATTCAATAATATAAAACCTCTAAATTGGCATTTTGATAATGCCACCTAGGTATGTAGTCGTATTATCTGTACCTAGGTATTATACAGTGCTTATCTTATATTATAAAGAGGATGATTTGCGATTCTGGAACCCGAAAAATGAAGTGCAGGCAATGTAGTCGCTGCACTCGCGCAAGTATCAAAAGCGTTTTTTTTTATACGAACGTATAACATCATAATTTTTAATATAGGGTACTACGACTGATAAAAATTGTCACAATTTTGAATTATTACACGCTCGCAAACTTCGCCCTAATGGTAAAAAACATACCTACAACTTATAGGTATTATGCAATATTTCAAATTTAGAATAGTCTATACCTATACTTATGTATTCAAATTGCTGAAGTCTAGTTGATGTAACATTAATTTCCAACAAGTCTTCAAGAGTGTGAATGTACAATAATAAAATCGCGCCCTGCATTGAAGGCAAGATTTTTCTTAGTTCTGTCTTTTGAAAATAAAAAAAAACGTAGGCGTATACCTATAGGTCGTCAATATACCCAGTTGCACCAACAAATTTAAGCCTTGTTTAAAGTTAAATCGAACTTAGGTACAAGCCATGGCAACGATTATTAAGACAATCGTTGCTATAGCATTTAAGTTATGCTTAACTTTAAGCGATACCTAATTATGATTTTGACGGTGCATATTGGCCATAAGTCTTTCAAATCGCCTTAACTGCATCGCCAACATTCCAAATGAAAAAAATTTCGAGCAAACTCTTTTACTTTTGTAAAAATTGAATTAAAAACCCAGTTTTGATGTATAGGTACTTTCCAGTTTTTTAATGAAATTCCGTCAAAATGGACGGTTTAGGAAAGTGAGCAGGTACCTATAATAGAGATTCTGTGTAATTAAACTAACAGATACCTACTGCACTATCTACACATATCACACTATGGTTTTCCGTGTTGCTGCATAGCGATTGTATAGGTATACCTGTACCTATAATGCCCATAATTGTCAAACTGGTGATTACAATTTGTTTACGAAAAACAAAGCAATAGCTAAAGTTAGGTACCTACCCTCACCTCAGGGCTGGATTTAGCATGGGGCAATGTGGGCCCGGGCCCATAGCGGCAAATTTTTAGGGGCGGCAAAAACAGAATTTGGGAAATAATTCTGCATCGTGGGAAAATAACATAACCTCTTAAGAAATTGAAGTTGGAATGCTACGTACACTTTTACCACCTGTCCTTAAAGGTAATCATGAAATGTGGGGTAAGATAACTTCACATTTCGACGAAATTATGTGAACTTTGTATTTTAAAATTGTGGAAAATTTAGGGCTTCTCCCGCAAATTTAATTTTTAAAATTTAACTGTTAAAAATGCTTAATTAAGGTGGCCTCTACTATTTAGGCGTTTTTATCAATTTCATTATGGTAGCTGGGAGGGTTAATATCGTCACGTAACCGTTAGATTATCTGAAACACGATTCAGATGGTTACATTTAGGTAGGTACATGTTTGTATGGACTAAACATACTTAAATAGGTATATTAATTAAGTTCTGTTTGGTGTACCTACCTATGGAATCTTTAAGAATGTTTCATTTTTGAAAAGCCCAACCGAACACTAGGTATTTCCTTTTCAGGTGAACTATATCGACATTTTGTTCATGATATATCTCAAAATGTTACTAAGAGAATCAAAAAGTATATTACTAGAACTATATACCAAACAAAACCCAATCTCACAACCTGCAAGTACGAGTATGGAATGTTTACCATTGATTTCGGGATTTCGGTTTAAATTTTTATGTAGGTAGGTATATTAGGCACACAGAAACGGAAAATAACGGGTCGGATTTTTGAAAAAAAATTTTGGAGCGCCACAACGGCATCGGCCTTTTTTTTCAAAAAGCAACCTAAAATCAATAAAATAAATAAAAGCAATAGACAAACATGAGCAAAAAATTAAAAAAAGAGGGGTGTTACCAAGCGGTCACCCATATCCAAGTACTGACCGAGTCCAACGTCAACGTGTTTATGCTTAACTTCGGATGCGGAGAACTGGCGTTTTCAACGTGGTATGGCCGTTGTCGAGAAAATTACTGTTCTAAGGGAAACAAGAATTGCAGAATCTTTTTTTAAAAAAGGAACAGGTGAAAAACGCTTGCGCATTCTGAGTAAATAATTATATAGTAAATAACTTAATTATACAGGGTCGCTAATTCGCTATAGGTATTAAAGATGGAACAAAGCTCTCACGCTCAAACTGTTCGAGATATAGAAAATTAGAACGCGTCCATTTGAAATTATTTCACATATTTTGAGATTAAAAACAATTTCTTGAGACATGGTTTTTTTATAGTGTAACCGCCATCTTGAGTTTTTTAAAATGGCAACATAGGTAAGGTCAGAGACTTGTTATAACTAGACCGCGCGTAACGTAGATTTTACTATAAACGCCTGTTGTCCAGATAGGATAGGCAACCAACTGTTCATCGCGGGGCAGACGTACGTTCTGCAGCTTGCTTTAGCCATGTTAATTCTAAATTTTAGTAGCAAAAAAAGATAACATATAGCTGTTAACTGTTTTAATCGAATTTATGGGTATTTTATTTGACTCTAAATTGGTATATAACTGCCTTACTCTAGTCCTAATTTGATTTATATGGGTATTTTGATGGTGAACACGTATGGGAAAATATACTCTTAAAACTAAAGATGTAAGTAGTAAGATATGATTATTTAGCGGATTTTGATTCAATATATGCCTATCCAAAAACCCAAATGGGCTGTAACTGTTATTTATTTTTCTTAGACTGCTGATAACCATTTTGTTTACAACGCGGTGTGGTGTGGATTGAATGAAAAACCTGAACACATTTTCAGCAATTTGGCAAATTTTTAATGCATCGCTTGATACGTGCAACAATCCTCCACGATTTTTTCTAGTTAAAAGCTTTGAATGACTCTCTGATGCGAATATCGCATCTGCACATATGGAACATTTAACAGACTTAGCTATTTTTCTTGTAACAAAACCTGAAATATACTTAGTACCAGTAAGTACTTAGTTACGTCTATACCTAATAGGCAAATAGGTATTGCCGTTGTCTTGCTGGTAAAGGATGTCGAATAATAGTTCTACGTTATTTTAAGTGAATGGGAAAGTCGAAAACGCTCGGTATTGCATTATTGTTTAACACCTTCGTAGGTACCTTTCTAAAATCGGCTTCATTCCCCGCAAATGCACTATGGTGGGAGTAAATTTTTCTCTTCGAATGGCTCTGATCCATTGGCCCTTTAAACTTTTATCCGTTGAAAATCAGCATATTATTTAAAAATTTATCGA